TCTAAGTAGGCGCAAATTATTCTTAAGAGCGTCAAAGTAGCATCAAAATTTCGACTCGGGAAATCTGCCATGTTTTCAGGAAAATCTACTATGTCAGCGATATAGACTTTAGCAAGATAGACTGGGTAGAAATTAATCGAAGCGGGCCCTAAATATGTAGAGGCTCTAGCCAGGGATATCCCGAAGTAGGCATTCCTTCGTAGCGTCCAGACACGGCCAACTCATTACCTACTGATTAATGAGCATCAATTTCGTCAAAGTAGGTTTTACCTTGGCTATAAATCGTCTAAGTAGACGCAAAATATCCTTAAGAGTGTCAAAGTAGTTACAAAATTTCGACTCGGGAAATCTGCCATGTTTTCAGGAAAATCTACTATGTCAGCGATATAGACTTTAGCAAGATAGACTGGGTAGAAATTAATCGAAGCGGGCCCTAAATATGTAGAGGCTCTAGCCAGGGATATCCCGAAGTAGGCATTCCTTCGTAGCGTCCAGACACGGCCAACTCATTACCTACTGATTAATGAGCATCAATTTCGTCAAAGTAGGTTTTACCTTGGCTATAAATCGTCTAAGTAGACGCAAAATATCCTTAAGAGTGTCAAAGTAGTTACAAAATTTCGACTCGGGAAATCTGCCATGTTTTTAGGAAAATCTACTATGTCAGCGATATAGACTTTAGCAAGATAGACTGGGTAGAAATTAATCGAAGCGGGCCCTAAATATGTAGAGGCTCTAGCCAGGGATATCCCGAAGTAGGCATTCCTTCGTAGCGTCCAGACACGGCCAACTCATTACCTACTGATTAATGAGCATCAATTTCATCAAAGTAGGTTTTACCTTGGCTATAAACCGTCTAAGTAGACGCAAAATATCCTTAAAAGCGTTAAAGTAGCATCAAAATTTCGAGACTCGAATGTATTTATATTCGATGTCTAAACGAAACTTTATCTCACGTGTACCCTCGAAAGGGATTCGATCGGTTATCCCGCCTCACGCCGTTTCGGCTGACTCGGCGGATACGCGAGAGGGGGGCCGCCGATACAGTGCCTCTCGTCACTTTCCATACGAGATATTCAGACACCTACGTGCGAACGACTCGTTTCGGACTAGAACAATGGGGCACCCTCGGACGCGGCTCTACCGTGATTATTGTAATGACGGTGTGCTGCGTCCGCGAACACTCGAATGATATAATTCGCAACCCTGCGCCACACGCTGAGAATAACGATGCCGCGCGCGCACGGTGTTAACCGTGCGGCCGTAATTTATTCTCGCTCCCTCCCCCCCCTCCCCCGTTTTCAGCCGATACGTGGCTTTCCGCGATATTTCTCGCGTTAACGCTCGCTTCCGGAATACACGACGGCTTTCGCGATACGCGTTAGGGCTTTCGCACACGGATTGCCGTAATCATAGACATGAGATGCAAATTTTCGTTTTAGGACGAATCACAGGACTTTGCTATGGTTTTGTGTACTCTAGAGAAGAAGGGAAAAGAAAGAATATTCCGATTTGAAGAATATCTTTATTGTTGACGTTTTAAAAATGAGATTAATGTTAAAGTGAGATTATATGGCGTTGAACGAAGATAAATTTGTCTTCAATCAAGACGAATATAATCAAATTAACACAATCGTTTTCTCATGTATAAGCAAGAATATTGTTGGTGGGTCACCTAACTCGAATAGAAATGCAATTAGCCGGCTTGAATCAAAAGCCAGTAGCTAGTTAGTACAGGCTAGATTAAATTTTCTAGTTTGTCAGACTCATTTGTTATTGGTTGATTATTCACTGAAATATCGAATTGAATTTTGTGGTTTAGCCGTTATTGAGCCATAATATATCAAATATGATAGAATGGAAAGTGTTATCTATTCTAAAATACATAATCTAATTATTATCATATCTTTATATCATTACTAGCTCACTATATCGCTATATCATCACTAACCCTTCAAAATTGGATAGCATATCAAAATTGCGATTACGTTAATTTCATAAAAGTTTCATAAAAGTTTCAGACAAGCAGAATTGAGCATTACATTACTGGCTAGAGCAACTACTTATGTTTTTTTGTCTCATAACTGTAATTTCGTTTGTTTAATCATCAGCTACCTTATTTATCTAGCCACTAGGAGGAATTGAGCGTTATATCACTGGCTAGTAGTGATATTAGGCACAAATTTATTATCTCGCGGCCAGGCACCGACGAGATTCTAGGATATTTCCTTCATTTCCGATGCGCTCATCATAATCTTATCGCAAAGGATTAAATCTTATCTTATTTCGTTATCAACCTTTATTTTAAAATATTATTTTGAAATTTCTGTACCTTGAGAGACTTACAGGCGCAGCAAATTCAATATGCTTTCGATGTTACGCTTCATTCAAATCTGATGGCTGTCGGTTAGATTGGAATCTGGAAGGCGAGCATGTTTCGTATTTGATTAGGATTCTATCCCGTGGCGCTTATTCTTCCTCTGACCACCACCGTAGTAGAGAGTCAATATTATCACACGTGCTCAAAACGCCGACAGAGAGACCTCGTTCGTCGCTCCTCGCCTATCGAATGCCGTACTCTTCGATCGGTGGTACCATTTAAGATTGGGACGAATGTTGGTACGTTCGTGCGTAGGATCCACCTGCGCATTCGATAGGTGCAGGCGTGTTTACTCGAGTCCGCCTTTCCCAGGTATAAAAGCTCGCCTCTCATCATTCGAACTCGAAGCTCCGTCGAATCTAAATGCACGTATGTGTATTTGCATTTTTTCTTAGACAAAAGGGACACTCTTTTTCTCTCTTTCTTCGGCCGGAATAGCGTCTCGTGTTTTCATTTGAAGAAGATCCACCGCTGATCAGACGCAAGACTCGGAGAACAGAGGGAAGAATAGATGTAACACGCGAGTCGACGTGGGCACGTCGTAGGTGTTCGAGAATCGCGCGCGAGGCATTTATCGGGAGCCCGAGTCGAAATTTTGATCCTATGTTGAACTTTGAATTCTACATCGCAGTAGGAGCTAAAATAGCGAGGTAGGTTTAATTCGAATGATATAATTTACTCCTACTTTGACCTTGATGATGTCTGAAATTTCCGTTTTTACTTTCTTTAGCGTCAAAGTAGGTTGTACAATAGTAAGATCTTAGGAAGCAAAGTAGGTTCAGTTGCGAACCTCTACTGAAGTTTTAGCTCCTACGTAGAATATATGTATTTTATAGAAATATTTAAAAAATTTAATAAATAACGAAACAGAAATGTCAAATAGCATGCAAAATGTATATTTTATTTGTTGCATATATTTCAGGCATCATCAGGGTCAAAGTAGGAGTAAATTATATCATTAGAATTAAACTTACTTTGCTATTTTAGCTCCTACTGCGGTGTAGAATTCAAGGTTCAACATAGGGTCAAAATTTCGACTCGAACAAGCTCTACTAATTTCTACCCAGTCTATCTTGCTAAAGTCTATATCGCTGACACAGTATATTTTCCTAAAAACTAATGGTAGATTTCTCAAGTCGAAATTTTGATGCTACTTTGACGCTCTTAAGGATAATTTGCGCCTACTTAGACGGTTTATAGCCTAAGTAAAACCTACTTTGACGATATTGATACTCATTAACTTTTCTTTTGAATCTTTAACTCTAGCTTGTCAAAATTTTGATGCTACTTTGACGCTCTTAAAAATAGTTTGAGCCTACTTAGATAATCTATAACCTAGGTGAAACCTATTTTGACGATACTGACTCATTTCCGAGTCGAAATTTTGACTCTATGTTGAATCTTGAATTCTATAAAACACATATATTCTATGCAGGAGCTAAAGCTTCAATAGAGATTCGTAACTGAACCTACTCTACTTCCTAAGATCCTATTATTATACAACCTACTTTGACACAAAAGCAAGCGAAAGCGGAAATTTCAGACATCATCATGCTCAAAGTAGGAGTAAATTATATCATTAGAATTAAACCTACTTTGCTATCTTAGCTCCTACTGCAGTGTAGAATTCAAGGTTCAACATAGGGTCAAAATTTCGACTCGAAACAAGTGTCAATATCGTTAAAATAGATTTCACCTAGGTTGTAGATTATCTAAGTAGGTTCAAACTATTTTTAAGAGCATCAAAGTAGCGTCAAAATTTTGACAATGTACTCTCTTAAAATGAATCAGCGAAACATCACTGAAAACAGTGAATATACACTGATTTGCAGTTATAAGTATTGCACTGAAAGTGTTCAGTGCTATACTTATAACTGATATCAGTGACTATTCACTGATTCATTTTAAGAAAGTAGAGTTAAAGGTTCAAAAGAGAAGTTAATGAGTATCAATATCGTCAAAGTAAAGGTTTTATCTAGGCTATAAGCCGTCTAAGTAGGCGCAAAATATCCTTAAGAGCGTCAAAATAGCATCAAAATTTCGATTCGGGAGCTTGAGTTAATTCGGAGTGAGGAAAAAATATGGAACGTTCATCTTTTCTCTCCTCTTTTTTTTACGATAGTCGTTTCCGTTCCCAGTAATGTGACTTTGTACACTTTTACGCCCGTACTGGCGCAATGGGCACGGCTGTAAAACACTTATGACACCCGCGGCATAATAATGTTAGTTGATAGTGGCTATCTCGGTGTATATAACTCACCGCATTCGCCATTTTTCTAATTAATGTTTAATGCTCCAATATCTGCCCTCCTTACTCACGATTATGCCTATTGCACGGTTGATATCACGTTACCAACCGATATTGCCTCTTCTTATTCCTTTCTAATCACGCGTGGTACACATCGACTGTCACTCGGGTTTCCCGCGCGAAATTCGCCCGCGAAATCGGAGCGTGGAGTGTTCGCGATTGTCGATCTATGGGAGACCGATGAGATGATCTCGTTGTTGGTCCCGAGGAAATATTAATCGATCGATTATATGATGCGTGTTTGACACAAAGTTTCACTGCGATTCGGAACCGAGCGATTGTTAATTATTGTGTTATCCCTTATGATTTCAGTCTCATCAGGAGGAAGATGCGTCGGATTCGGATCAGGATGACGACAGTGCGGAGGAGTTATACCAACAGCCACCTCAGAGTAACACGCAGCCTTCGCTGGACGCTGTATCGTTGCATGCCGGCAACCATCTAATATCGAATCCCACCACACTGGCGCAATTCCAGAGCCTGCTGACCTCTAACCCGCATCTTCTAAAGATTAAAATGGAGGTAAGTGTTCGAAAAGTCTTCTTACGCCTTTCGGCATTCGCGTGTTACGCCTTTCGGCATTCGTCTCGTGCTGAGGGCGCGAGCATTTCCTTCGGCGGGCGAACGCGGATGCGGCTTACGAGGAACGGTCGAAAAGTTCCCTTCGCGTTCGCGCTCGTCGAGTTTCCGTGTGAAGATAAGCGGCCGCATAATTCGTCATAAAACCTGCTCGAAGGAGTCGAGCGTTCGTTGACCTACAAAAGTGGCAAGGTGGAGTGACGCGACTCGTGGAAAATCGTGAGATAGTCGTAACAGCGGACGTTGACAGTCATAAATGAGTTACCATCGTGTCATCGCGACAAAAGATTTCTTTTTCTTTCCTTTTTCTTTTTCTTCATTACGCAACAGCCCAAACCGGATGACGGGGCCTGGCGAGCGCAAATATCTTTTACGATCACCGTTCCGATAAGAACTTGTGCCGTATTCTCGCGCACAATGGCGTGAAAATTAGGCAGCATGATGTCTACGTCCTACGTCAACGTTTTTTAACACATTGGAACTGATTTTGCGATTACAGAATGAAGCTGAAATGCTAGAAAACAGGAGTGGGCTGGACGCTCTGCAACGTGTGTTTAACGAAGCTGCGTTGAACAACGGTGCCATGCCTCACTTCGGCAATATAAACCCATTCGGCTTCTCACACGCGTTCTTGACGCAACAGTCGCTGCATAACAATCACGCGCAACTAGGAAATTTCGGAAACGTGTCCGGCAGTCGCATAGTCTCGCCTGTCAACACCCGCCACAGCGATTCTCCGATGGGTAGCAGCCCGGGCAGCGCCGAGGTTCGCGAGACTAACAACAATAATAACAGCAACAACAACAACAACCATAGAGAACCGCAGAATATGCGTATGGAATGCAGCAACACCGTGCAGAACAGTGGAACGAGCCATCAGCCGGGACCGAGCCAGCAGTCGGGACCGAGTCATCCGCCAGGACCAAGTCCCTTGCCAGGATCAAATCCATCTCAGCAGACGAGCTGGAGTTTTGAAGATCAGTTCAAACAGGTATGTCGAACAAACATTTAGCTATAGCTTTGTTTCGCGAATAAGATATTTGCGATATCATCGATCACACACTGAGAGAAAAAAATAGTTGGAATAACTATAATCTCACTATATTTTATAGTTTGCTTTGGCCTCAAACATGTATTTATAGTTCATCCAAAAACGAAGATATAGCAGAATGAACACACATTTATAGTCACCATTTTATTACTCTATGTGTATAGTAAGACACGCTTTGAGAATATAGTCATATGTACCCATATTTTCCAAATATTCCAATTGTATTGACTATATAAAATAGTTAATTTCTCTTACCATTTAATATTTGCTATCTTATTATGTTTTTTATTTCAAATAATTATAATTCTTGGTAAAAGTTTTACATGAGTCAGTTATACTATATTTATATTGTAAATATTACAAACATTATGGTGACATTTACTATAAAAAAGATATTCCTAACTATAATCTTTTTACTATGCCATTATAGTTCCAAATATCATACATTTTTCTCTCAGTGCTATGATATTTGGAACTATAATGGCATAGTAAAAAGATTATAGTTAGGAATATCTTTTTTATAGTAAATGTCACCATAATGTTTGTAATATTTACAATATAAGCATAATATAACTGACTCATGTAAAACTTTTCCAAGATTTATAATTATTTGAAATAAGAAATATAGTAAGGCAGCAAATATTGAATGATAAGAAAAATTAACTATTTTACATAGTCAATACAATTGGAATATTTGGCAAATATAGGTACATATAACTATATTCCCAAAAGGTGCTTTACCATATATATATAGAGTAATAAGATGGTGACTATAAATCTGTGTTCATTCTACTATATCTTCATGTTTAGATGAATTATAAATATATGTTTGAGGCCAAAATGAATTATAAAATATAGTAAGATTATAGTTATTCCAACAATTTTTTTTCTCTCAGTGCATGATCGTAAAGCTATTTAACGTCACCGGTCTGATTAGGGGTGGGCAAATTACTGAATCGACTTGCTCCTTATTGGAGCAAGAGCAAAAATGTTGGCAGATGTTAGCTTACAACTTTGAGAAGTCAGAAATTGCACTTGATGCATCGAGCATAATTCGACCCTGTCACACAGTCGAAGCCTCTAAGGTCTAGCTGCACCAACATTATTTTGGCTTTAAGCGAAACTTAAACATATATTTATCTTTATCTTTCTTTTTAAGATTCCAAAACGTCCTTTTTGAGGAAATTTTACTCGATACTTTATAGTATATGTAACGTGAATTATAGGTATTGAATAAAATTTTCTTCAAAAAAAAAACGTTTTGAAATGCTGCCTAAATAAATGAAGACAGACATATATTTAAGTATCACTTAAAACCAAAATAACGTTGGTGCAAGCGGGCCTAAAAGATGCATCGGGATACCAAGTGGGACATTAACGATCCGATAACTTCCGGGGGTGGCATCGCCGGCCGCGGCGCGGCTCAACGTAGCGTGCCGTGGCGTGGCGCGATCGCGCAATCGCGCGATGCCAGGCCGAGTGTCGTGGGCGTGAATAACTCGCGCGGTCGCCTTTGTGGGACACTGGTTAGTGCCACGAGGGACGTGTAATTACGGCGGAACTCTCCCCTCGCACGAGCGCGGGACGAGAAACGACGGCGGGCCGTGTGGAGAGAGAGAAAGAGAGAGAGAAAGGGAGAAAGAGAGGCGCTTTAATTAATGCAACGATGGAAGCTAATTATTATTTTTACACGGCCGGGAGATAATTACCGTCCAACCGACCGACCGACCAACCGACCGTCCGTCTGCTCGTCCGCGAACGGCGAGTTCGTTGACGGTGTTCCGAACAAGAACGAGACGATCGGCTCGACACCCCGAAGAAGGAAGGAAGGAAAGAACATTTTGGGACCGAGATAGAGGATAGGATATGTAGGGGGAGGGACGAAGTTATAGAATTAGCCGAGCCCGCATCGTAGCCTTGTTAACGCTTTTTGCAGAGCACTTCGCTCGCGCCTGCATTTCTGCCATGTGAGGTCGGGGTCCGGTCGGGGGTCCGGTCACCCCGTTTGAGCGCGGTTTTCACTTTTTACGAAGAGGGTGTGGTATTGGATTACCATTTAGATTGTTGTTCGCGGGCGCGAGGTCACAAAACGCCGCGATACCTTTTCGCAGACCACGTGACAAACCCGAGGACGCCCGTCTCGCGCCAATTTATTCACTTAAACCAAAATGTTTAAAATTTAACGCAACATTTATCGCAGTGAAACATATTCTTAGATAAGGTTTCATGCAATTCCTCTGCACCATTTATGAGAAATTTAATGCTAAATATTTATAATAATAATAATTTTTTGCACACATAATCTTATCATAGAAGTAATATAGATGACTATTATTTCAGTGTAAATGTAGAATTCGTAAAAAAAGATACCATCCGAATAAAAAAACATAAATGTTACATATTAGCAAACGCGGTATAGAAGAAAGAGTAATATTCAAGGCACTTTTTGTGCAAAGGTCAACTAATCAGAAAATTTTATCTTTTGAGCACACTGAAAGTCCAAGTGTATAAAAAGAGATTCAATTAAAATAACACCTTTGGATTTGCAGTGTAGCATGTTGAGTGCAATGTGGCAAGGTAGTATCGTGAAATTAGTTTCAAAGTAACATTTATTATTTAGATAGCAAAGTAAATATATAAATACATAATGTTCTTCGATAAATAGTGAATTTACGAGTATTGATGCGCCACTAAAAGCCAGTAATGTAACGCTTACTTCTCCTAGAGTGCGATCCATTAGACACCGCAAACGTTTTGAAACGCTTAATAGAAGCCATGATTGGTCTATATGGCGCTTCAATATATCTGCAGCATCTAATGGATCGCACTCCTAGGTGGCTAGAGAGTAAGATAAGTTAGCTAATAATTAAGCAAACAAAATTACAGTTATGAGATGAAGAATCATAAGTAGTTGCTAGCCAGTAATGTCACACTCAATTTTGCTTCTTTGAAACTTTTACGAAATTTATGTATCTTCAATTTTTATTTGCTATCTAATTTTTTGATACCAGCTTTTGACTTAACCCGACTAGTTATTTTCGGACTAACTAGAATGCATATTCCATACAATATTCACGGTAAGCAATGGGATGCAAGAGAGATCTTTGATTCTTCCCTCATTTTTGTATGGGATAGAATGGGATAGAAGGGATGAGGTACATTAGGATCAACAAAGGATAGACAAAGACTGAGGCACTGGCAGGTCTAGCGCAGGTTCCGATTTGTACCAGTGGATGTGACCAATAGTAAAATCCATATCGTGGTGCGACGAATCTATAAAATTCCATGACGAATGTACTCGTACCTTCACTGGCGCGAAATTCTCTCGGAGAGGAGCTGTTTATGTCGAAATCTTTCCTCTGAAAAACAGTTGACGAGTGTCCTTGATCAGCGAGCGCTGTCGGCGATGTTTTCGCGGAACGATGTGTGGGCGCAAAAGCGTATCAATTTTGATTGAAATGTGCGCAACGGACGGCACTTGTGTGATGCTCGCGGATAAACGGGCGCGAAAGAGATTGTACGGCAAGAGGAAACGGGGAACGAGCGCGCAGGAATGGAAATAGAAGTCTCCACCTACTCGGCGAACTCGGCGCCCGCGTCTCACGGAGATCGCATCCATCATTCCGGCGAGGGCGTACAAGCTGGGTCTTTAATCTTTCTTCTTCAGGGTGATGGTAGCTTCGTCTGTTTCACCCTTCCCCCGTTTCGTTTTCTTTCCCTCGGAGATGCCGGTAATCGCTCGTGTTCTCCGCGTCGCGGATCTCCGGCGAGTCTTCCGGCCGTCGGTGTCTCGCGTCGCCACCTCGGCGGACAATCGTCACGTGAGCCTTTGTCGCCGTCGCCATCGCAATCGTGACGACCCTCGATCGAGGGAGATTCGGTTTAAGATTCTGCGTACGCAGAAACCGGCTCTATAAGAGAATAAGAGAGCGTCCAACCTCCGGACAGGTTTATAGTCGGTCGGTTATTGTCTCGAAATAGGGTAGGTAACACACTGGCAGCGTCGTCCATTTGCCTCACCTCACAAGCTCGTTTCAGCAAGGCAACGATCGACGTTGTATACCTATCGTACACAAAGTAATCCAGCGACGGTGATAGCCAACGCGAACATCGCGTCCATGCGAGAGAGGAGAGGCCTCCTCTCCTCTCCTCTTTATCCTCCTCCTCCTCGGACCGCCCCAGCCCTCGTTTGTTCGCTCTCACTCACTCGCTCGCACGCACCCACACGCACTCGTCTCTTACCCCGTGCTACACCGTTCGCTGACCGTGCACTCGAGCTACCACGGCGATATAATACTGTAGCACTATACTTTGCAGCCATTGTGAAATAACTCGTAAACCTGCAAATTGCCGGCTATTTTGCTCCCATACACGCGTGCAACGGCGACCTTTTACGCCGCGCCGTCTGTGTGTATTGTGTGTTCGACCGTAGATCGAGAAGGTTGACTGCTCCTCTATGAGCGTGCATGTTCACGCGGGTAAGACGGCTCGTCTACCACGCCGTGTGTCGTCCTCACGTGTGCGCGCGCGCGCGAGGATGCACAGGGTGGTCGCGAATTCGATTCTTTTTGCGGGAGACGGCTGGGTTGTTTCGGCAGATAGGTTGTTTCGGCGTTGACCGACGGCGAAATCTTTTCGTTCGCTGCTTAAGTTGCCATTACTTAGCGCAATGAGACTTCATTCTTGGGTTAAGCTGGTTACTTTTACCGACTGTGGTATCGTGTTGAAATAAATACTCCGATTAAACTGAATAAATAAATACTCTGATTAAACTGAATAAATAAATACTCTGAAATAAATACCCGATAAAGTATTTGTTAGACGAGCTTTAGATAAGATCCATGCTCAGAATACGATTGCCGAGATGCTCCGCGCAAAAATGATGTAACGATCTTTGCTACTCGAAGGATCTAACAGTATGTGAGACGAAATAAGAAGGA